AGTGCTGCGAAATGATTCGTCTAAGTCAAAGAATGCCTTCTTATCGACACACATATGATTGCTGCAGCCCGTATCCAAATACCACAGACTATCTGGAATTTCCTCGGTCACATTGCACACCATCAAGAGAGATTCCTCTTCTTCTCTTTCTGCAAAGTTGGTCATTTCTCCATTTTAGCCATTCAAGTTAATTCTACATTCATTTTGATAATGACCATATTTATGACAACGATAACACTCAACATTAGATTTTGGGCGATAATTGTTTGAATGATTACCTCCACGATAGCCACCTTGACCTCTTCCTCTTCCTGAGTTGTCTAAATTCTGGCGGTTGGCAGGATTGTTGCTATGGTTGCTGCTACGACCATTGTCACCTCTACCATAACCACCTCGACCTCTTCCTCTGCCCCTGCCTCGGCCTCCTCTAAAATTTGAGGTATTTGAGTAAGTCGAGGCTTTAAGTGCTTGCTCCTCTTTGTTTTAGTTGTTGATTTTATTCTCATGAACCAGCAAGGAACTTTGCAATTCATCAATTGAAAGTTCATCCACATCATTTGCTTCTTCTATCGAACAGACAACAAAATCAAATTTTGGTGTCAAGGATCGAAGAATCTTCTCAACAACGGTGACATTTGTTGTCTTGTCACCATGAATCCGCATCTTGTTAACGATAGCCATCACTCTTGAAAAGTAGTCTGTAACTGACTTTCTTGATTTCATTCGAAGTAATTCAAACTCCGAACGAAGTGATTGAAGCTGATGCCTCTTTGTTCTTGTTGTACCTTGGTATTTCTTCTTCATGGAATCCCAAATATTCTTTGCAGTGTCCTTGCAAAGAATGGTTTCCAAGATTGATCGATCAATTGCATAGAAAAGGTAATTCTTTTCTTTGAGATCCTTCAGCTTTAGTCTTTCCTGCTCCGTTTTTTGCTCGTCTGACAACGCAGCATCTGCTGCAGGTTCTGCTACGCCAGAAACAACAACCGTCTAGTATTCTTTGGATCTCAATAACTTCTCCATGAGCATGCTCCAATGGTCATAGTGACCATCAAAGCGTGGAACCTATGTGTGAGAAAAAAAACTCTGAAGCCATGTGTGAGAAAAAAAATTATGCAGTCCCTCTCACGTAACCTAGCTCTGATACCACTGTTATAAGAGAAATAAAATACTGGATTTCTTTTATTCATAAGAATAGGCCTTTTTGTAGGCATTACAAAGTGTAACCGCTGTTTTCATTTTCCCTAAAATTTAGCTACCCACTAACAAACTAACACACGATACCACAATTCCTAAAGACTAGGTTTTAGCAACTGCCATTAATTTTAAACAGAAACAATTCTAAAACAAATAAATAAATACATAAATCTTAACAAATAAATAAATAAAGCTGAACACTTTATGCATGGTTAACAAAAATACAGGTTGTTGTAAATTCTTTAATATAGTTATAATAGTTACAGGATAAAAAATGGGAAGAATTTGAAAATCAGAGAATTGCATATTTAAAACAGAGGAAGTTTTGACAGCGGTTATAAAACCTAATCGGAGTTGTATATTGAACGCTGGCCAGAATAATATAAATTACAAAATGTTGATGCTGAGAATCGAACCAGCGACCTTTAGTTCTATCACAATGGTTGAGTTAACTAACCGTTGTGATATGGCGCGCGCTTTCTAGAATACAACAACGGTCCCAGGACCGTGATTGTAAGTACCACATATACAACCACATGCTACATAACAACGCCTGGTTCCGCGTGGTTGTATATCTTTCTCAACCGTTGTTAAATGTCTTTTCCGTAGTAGTGATCTTAGGTTAATCAACAAGAAGAGGAGTTGGAACTCTAAGTTGTGGTTCTTGGACAATCCTTGTTCTTGAAAGAGGAAGAACTAGATCTGGATGTGGAGGAATATCAGTGCCGAAATTCATTCCGTCAGGAGGAGGATGCATTGTGTTTCGTTGATTGACGGTTGTTTGTGTTGGGTCGATAACAACTAAAACGATTTTGTGTGGTGGCAGAACGAGTAGCTCTATATCCAACCATTTTCAATGATCTAAGAGATTAGAGATATGGAAATCCATAGATATGAAGAATCAATGAGTTGCAATTGACGTAGAGTTCGAATTGATTGAATGAAACTGAGTTGTGCGCTAAATTTACTAGATTTGCATTTTGAGGTTGAAGAAACTTCACACCGAAAAATTGAACGCATAGATAGAGAGTCGTAGAAAATGCGAGAATCAAAAGTCGATTCCCACAAATTGCGACATTGTTCCGTTATGGAACCATAAACAGAGAGAGATGCAAAATTTGTGGCTGAATAGAGTTTCCGTTGCGGTAGGGTGAGGGTGTACCTTCAAGGTTAACACTCTGACGCTTAAGTCAGTATGTGAAAGTGATATGTCTGTGGATTCAAACCCGTGTCTTTTTAACTGATGTCTTTGAACAACTATTAACTGAGTTGTTTTAATGAGACATCTTGATTTTATTTCTGGATCGTGCAAATGTCAATTTTTTGAAACTTTCAGCATCACCTTTTTAGAACATAATTTTAAATTGTGGTCAAAATCACGACAGATTAATTTCGATAGTGTTCAATTTTTTTCATCAAAAAGAAAATTTCAGAATTTCTCCAATACAATGAAATTTTTTAGTTTTATCCGTGTTCAAGAATCTTTCAATCACTATTCATTGCAACACACGTTCCTCCATCTGCGACCACAACAATGATTCAAAATCATATTTTGGATATGAGCAAAAATGTAATGTGCTACAAGCATATAGCATCATTTACACTGACCTCTCAATTCTAAAATAAAACCTTTTACAAGTTTGAATTCAATGGTTGTCATGTAGTTATTGCCTAACTAACTCCAACATATTGTTGTTGAATTGGGGCGGTATCTAATTCTAAACCAAACATAGAATCATTTTTAGTAACTTTTGACCAATATCTTGTTTGGCATCAACAAGATTAACTGAATATGGAAAATGCCAGTTACTAAAATTCTTTTGGTTGTTAGAATTTGTAACATCGATTAGGAACAACGAACCGAGATCACTGGATTAAGTTCAAAATCATGGAATGTTCCAAAAGCATATGCCATACTCAATTAATAAAAATTATAGTCTCTGCAGTTGCATGCAGGGTAGGGTGTTACACCATTAGCTCGAGCCGACCTCAAAGCAGATCATAAACAAGTTGGGTGGCCCTTTTGGACTAACAAAGAACTACAACCTTAGCTTTGTTGATTCATTAAAAAGCCATCATAAGATCCTCAATGATTAAGCAAAACAACTCTTTGCAAGCATCACTTTTTTATGTTGCTTATGACTAAATACCTAACAATTAGTGAAATGACCTATGTCAAGAGTGATATAATTATGTTTCTTGATACATGAAAGCACTCTTAAAGTGACTTTTATCATATAATGTTGCTAACTTTTTTCCATTTCTCACACACAGTTAAACCATAGATCACATATTTTACTTTACTAAATTTAGCTAATAATTGATTGACAAGTCCATTTGTAGATCTTATCCCTTGAACTCTACCTGTTGAATAAGTTACTGCATAGTCCTTTCATAAGTTCCATTTCAAATTGAGTTATAATTAAGAGTGGATAATGCACTATATGTTCAAGTAGAGTGTGACAAGGATCTTTTACTTGTCATTTCTTATTTATTATTTGATGAAAAATATGATGCAATCCACTCACTTTTAAATGCCAATTATTTTAGTCTAACTCTTTATTGCTTTCTTTGAGTAATCTTAATCTTTGTAATTATTTTTATTTATTCACGCCGTTATCTAGATAAATCATTGCTTAATGAATGTTACTTGATTGGTTCACTTTTTAATGCTATATGCTAATGCTTCTGAGCTTTTCTAAAGCACCATTTGAATTTTGAGCAAAATTGTTGATAGTTTTCACACCTTGTTATGAGCAACTAGTGTCTTTTGGAATATTATACTCATAATTGTGGTGGATATTAATCATAGTTTTAGTCATTATTAAAAATTAAAAAGGTCACTTGGGCGAGAAAAAAAGGCTACAACCACAATTCAGAACTACTAGAGTGACATTAGAGCGTATCTGAAAAGTATCTGGACACAAGTCGTATGCTGTAAACTCTAAACTTGAATAATAGAAAAAGATTGCAATGGTATTGTTGTCAGAGATGTAGAAACAATAGTTTAAACTCCTTAATTGATTATCGTGTGGTAAACTCTAAAGGGATGGTGACTTGTTTAGAATCTGAGGTGAATGAGGCCTACTGAATATCTGCAGACACTCTGACGCTCAAGAAAGTATAAGTTTGAGGTGGCAGTTAGGTTAGAGTGAAGGATACTTTAATAGGTTGTAAGGTGAGGTTACATGACCCGATGGACTTGGCATGGGCCTTGACCTAATCCAAAAGTCGAGTTAGAAGATTACGTATTATGTATTTGTAGATATGTTTTTCGTTTTTTTTTTTTTTACTTTTGAAGTAGGAAGTTGTTCTACCACTATGGCCCAAAAGGCGTCTAAGTAAACCATAATGATGTTAATGGAAAAAATGATACTCAGGTTGCTATCTTGGACTTGTTATGCAAGTTAGAAAAACATGATGTTATTTGTCTTGTTTCTTATCATGCAGCACATCCCTTATGTTCAGGTAGTTGTTTTTTGTTTTTCTTTTATCAAAGTAGAATTCGGAACAAGTATTTACAAAATTTAATTAACTACTATGCACTAATACTCTAAACCAACATCAAATCATATGTCACAGTCGATGTCTTGTTCATCGGTGTATAATCATTAAACTCTTGCGAATTTTGATAGAAAAAATTTAGTATTGTAGATTGATCTTCGGACCATTAAACTCATTCATATAGTTTGATCAAAAGACTAATATTCTACTACCTAGTATTATTCCTCAGATTGAATTAGTACAAAACTCTTCAAATTATATATGAGCTTTGCATTGCTTTGCTTTGCCACAATTTAAATTTACCTAACTCTATGAAGTGCAAAATAAGCAACTAGTCTATAACCAACCAACATCAACGCCATAACGGACACATCAACCCACATATGATTCAATCCCATCGATTTAATCGGCGGAAAGTCCAAAACCTTGCACGTCTCACCATTGGGACATTGATAATAATCATTTTCACCGTATTGAACACCGAGAAGAAGCTTGTAACAGTAGTAGCTATAGCTTAAGAACTTAAGCCAGACTATGAAAGGTGGAATCTGTTGTATATAGTATCCTCCAGCAATGAGAAAAACAAGTGTTGTCACAGAAGCTAGTGTAGTTGCCTGTTTGATATCCATCAAAATAGCACCGAATGCTAATCCGAGACTTTGGGATACAACAACACTGTAAAGAACAACAAGAAGTGAAAGAATGAAAGTCATAAGATCAGGTTTGAGTCCTCCCATCCAATATAATATGACCACAAAGGCTGTTGGAAGAGCGAGTTCGAGAGGTAAGTCTCCTATTGTTCTTGCTAGAAAGTACGATGAGAGACGGTACATTCCCGATGAACGTTCTTTGATTAGCATTCTTCTCTCTTGTGGAAATGTGAAAACCGCGTTGTAGAGAGGGTAGAATCCCCAGAAAACAGCAAAGAAAAAGAGCAAAGCTATCTGCATGACAATTATACAACCTTATATTAGGCATTTTTTAAGTATAGCAAGCAATATTGTTCATGGTTTGATTTTTTTAGATTTTCTACATTCACAAATCTAACACAATCACGCAGTCAGTAAAATCTTAATCGTCTGATCTCAGACGAATAACAAACCGTTTACTGACTGCGTGAATGTGTGAGAATGCTGACTGCAGACAATCCAATTCTAAGAAACAAATGAAGGAGAATTAATAGATGAAGTGATTATTTCTTACCCTATCTTCAAGGTGTGATTTAGGTGTATGCCACCACAAGAGTCCGGCAAGAAACGCTACGCTTACGACTTGAAATATTCGCAGCTTATTGAAGGCTTCATGCCTTCTTTCCTTCACTCCTCTTTGCAATAATACAGTGAACTGATACCACCAGCTTGTACACCATTGCTCTGGTTTTATTTGATTTCCTACATTAATTTTTCAGATTAGAAAGAGTAAAAATCTTTTTTGCTTTTCACTTTTTCCATTGAAGATAGAAAACGAACACTTACTTGTCAAAGCATCTAAGTTGTTCTCTTCCATGCTACAAATCTCAGCTTTCAACCTAGTAGCTAAGTTCTTGTCATAAGCAGAAATGAGAGTTTCTCTCACATTCTTCCTTTCAATTTCCAAAGCCTCACTTTGTTCAGTTACATGCTTAGATTCCGGACCAATCCCTGAAAATTTTCATTTTCGTCATTACATTGTTAGTACTTCTTTCGACAAGGTATCAGTTCAGTGGTAACAGTTTTGACTTCGTAATCTCAAGGGAATATTCAATTCCCTCGGGTACGATTGTAAAATGACTATTAGTGTCACTTAATGTTCGGTTAAAGAATGAAATCAAAAGATTATTGATTGTTACTTACCATTGGCAAGATCAAGCAAGAGATCAGCTGGATTAACAGTCACGCAGGACGAAAAGCCAACCGATGAAAAATACTCAAGAGCAGTCGAAGCAGGACCGTAATATATAGGACATCCTTCCGAGAGCAACACAACCTTATCAAACATATAGTAGAGTCTACTAGAAGGTTGATGAATTGTTGTAACAACAGTTCTACCACCACTAGCAAGTTTTTTGATAGTATTCAAGATCCTTAAAGCTGTGGTAGAATCCAAACCAGAAGTAGGTTCATCAAGCAATAACAAACTCGGATTAATCAACATTTCTTGTCCTATACTCACTCTCCTTTTTTCACCACCTGATATACCTCTCAAAAGTGGTCCTCCAATCATACTATTCCTACAATTATTAAGTCCTAACTCACTTATAACTCTCTCCACATGCTCAACTTTTTCATCTCTTGTTAAGGTTTGTGGAAGCCTCAAAAGTGCAGTGAACACTAGAGTTTCCGTTACGGTTAGGTGAGGGTAAAGAACATCATCTTGAGCAACAAAACCTGTTCTTCTTTTTATCAAACCAGAAAAAGATTGATTGTTGTAGGTGACTTTTCCTGATAGTTTACCGGCAAGACGGCCGCCGAGAGCTGTAAGGAGTGTTGTTTTGCCACTGCCTGATGGACCTAACATAGCTAGTATTTCTCCTGGACACACCATACCTGTGATTCCATTCAGTATAGTTTTCTCTTTTTGGTTTACTTTCACTTTGTACTCCAAATCCTCAAACTGCATACACCAAAACAAATAAAAAAAATTGTAACAGAATGTGCGTTAGTGTAGTCGAAATTAGCAATATAATAGGCGTATCTGGTCCAAAATTTTGGACCAGATAATGTACTATTTTGCTTATATTATATATAGTATTGAAAGTGAGTGATGTTAATTACCTTCAAAGTAATGGGATGCATAATGAGTTTTGGTAATGATTGTTCATTGTGTGGTGATCCTTCCAAAGAGAGAGTAGTAGTATTGAAGTATTGTTGAGGCTTTGGTGCTATGAAATTTGGAGGCATGGTTAAAGAAAAAGTAAGTGATGATTGAGAAGTGAGAGAAGTTAAGAAGTTCCTTTTAACTTGACTCCTTAATGTGTTAGTGAGTAGAAGCACATAAATATATATAGCCTCCTTTGGATGGTGGAATCCACTTTTTTCTTTTCCTTCAAATTATTCTTTGAGAAGGAAAATTGAATGGTGCAATACTGCATATTTATTGGAATTGATATCCTTGATTTGACTCTTGAAAAACATACGGATTAAGTTTTGAGCTGTATATTTATTTACTTTGGTTTTCAGTGTGTCATGTAATGTAATCAATTTATTTACCACTCAGTGTTATTGTTTCTATCTTTTCTAAATTCAATTTAGAGTGTATGAGATGGAATGAGACATCTTTAATCAAATATCAAATAATGGAATGAAATATATATTTTATTCCGTTTCTCTTCATTCCACTTCATTACATTCCACTCCGCTCTGTTTCGTTATTTTTCATTCCGCTCTGTTCCGTTATATTCCACCAATCTAAAAATACTTTAAAAAAATTATTATTTCGTATTAATCCATAAGGTGAAATGTATATTGAAATTGTCGTTTTACTTAGTTTGTGGGGTTGTTTTACAATATAGTAGATTCTTTCCTATGGGTATGCATGTAGTTGCAAAAACCAAAGGAAATGCTACTACAGCTTTTGTTTGTCAGTGACAATCATAGCATTTTGTACCGTTTATGTACAAGTTCATGATATATGAACTAAGTGGTTTTCTTTAATGCTTTCAAATTATTTCTCAATTTTCACGTTTTCATTATTTTCCTTTTCAAAGTTCTAGTTTTATGAATGCACTATGCATATATGGCGTTTTTTAAAATAGGTAGGTTGAGTCTAACTCATTGTTATAAAATTGATTAGTAATAAGGTGATAATTATCCTCACTTATAAATATATGTTTAGGTCATATATTGTCTGATTTAGAACTCTTTAACACCTCCTCTCATGTCCAGAATTTGCGGCTTAAAATGTGGCCTAATGAATCTTAAACGAGATTCTAATACCATCTTAAAATGTGTGTGTTGCGCCTAACTCATCCCTATAAAAATATTGAAGTATAAGAGAGTGAAAGACATTTTGAATAAACTGTGTGTTTAAAAGTTATTACGAAAACTGTATTATATATATATATATATATATATATATATATATATATATATATATATATATATATATATATATATATATATATATATATATATATATATATATATATATATATATATATATATATATATATATATATATATATATATATATATATATATATATATATATATATATATATATATATATATATATATATATATATATATATATATATATATATATATATATATATATATATATATATATATATAGAGAGAGAGAGAGAGAGAGAGAGAGAGAGATTACAACTAATTATATGCTATAGTCGATGTGAGACTATTTTATATATAAATATTCTTAACACTCACTTTCAAGCTGGATCATATATGTCATGAGTCGAGATTGTTACAAATGTAATCCACTCGAGAATTCCTGCACTACAAGAAAACCTGCATTTTGCTAAGTGATTTAGTGACGTGGTAAAAACGTGGGAAAAAACAGAAGTTGCGACGTGTAAACCAAGTCACTACGTTATTTAATTAATAACCATCCCAAGTTGAAAATTTGTAACGTTGAGTGCTGTTTTTTTTTTGTGTGTGTGTGTGGGGGGGGGGGGGATTTGAATTATTCAGAATTTCAGTTGTGGCGTGGTAACCACATCGGAAACTGAAATTCAAAAATATCTTGGTTTTTCCGACGTGGTAAACAGGTCAGAAGTTTCCTACTTGATACCCACGTCGCAAATAGGGAGTAATTAATGTTGGTCTGCATTTTATTTTTATAGTTGGGACATAATAAAGTCTGATTTGACTTTTCCAGAACTTTCGACGTGCATCCCACGTCGCAACGTATTCTTTAAATTATCGTGTCATTTAATTTTTGTACCGTTGAGTGTTTAACGTTGAAAATAAAATGTTGGGAAAGTTTCGACGTGTTTATCACGTGGCTACTTTCCCAAGTGCTTTTTGTAACACCCCACTTTCCCAAATTAAAATAAAATGTGATTAAGTCAAATAATTATCAGAGTTCCATTCCAAAAGTGGGATATTACGTTCCCAAATTCAACAAAACACTTCTTTATATGGTTTTCAAAATAAAGCAGCGGAAAATTATCACTAATATATCATTCACGGCCATCCGCCAAAATACACAAAAATCACCAAAATACGATATGTCACAGGGATACAACAAATTCAATCATAAAACAAATAAACTCTCAAGTCCCGTGTTACGTATCAGAGCATCCTAGGACCCGACTCGCACACCACTATTCAAGCTAGTTATACACCTGAATTATCTGTACTTCTGAAGAAGCACATACCACAACAACAACAGAGGGGGTGAGAAAACATGATCAAAATTATCGGTAATAAAATACATGAATAAAAGGCAGTAAATAAACAATCATCACCCCACCAACATCAAACAGGACCTACTGTCCAATCATCAACGCAACATATCATAATGCAAGAATGCAACCCAACACATACATGCGGTACCGACTCAACATCACCGATGGAAACCTGACCATCAACCCTCCACAAGGGAGCACATCATAAACAGGATAGATCACTTACGCTCCTCCTGATACATGATCCATCCCACCAAGACACCGTGTTATGCACGACACCAAATGCACAACACACAAACATCAAGCACACTAGGTGCACACGTTCCTACTGATCATATCACCATGCATCATATATATATATATATATATATATATATATATATATATATATATATATATATATATATATATATATATATATATATATATATATATATATATATATATATATATATATATATATATATATATATATATATATATATATATATATATATATATATATATATATATATACACACCAATCAATTATCAATCAAGTTAAATAACAGTGAAACCCCAATCGACACTGAGTACACATGATCCTCCCGATCACCTAACTATGCATCATATACATATTACATATATGTCTTACTCACCAATTAATCATGTCAATTAAATTCAATATTTCATAATTCACCTTTCCACATCAAGTATACTCTCTGTACCCCTAAACACCATCTCTCGACACATCACAACTCAAGGAATCCTACAAAATAAATCACAAGGCAAAACAGCACAAAAATTACATTTTGTCACGCTCGCTGGCTCACTCGCCTAGCGAGGCCTCAGCGAACGCTCGCTGCCTCATTCGCCTAGCGAACCTGCTAGCGAATGCAGACAGTGACTACTGGAAGTGTTCGCTACCCAACTCGCCTAGCGAATCCCTAGCGAATGCTCGCTACTAGTTCGCTCAGCGAAGGTGCTGGCGAATGTGTGATTTCACAAAAATCTCACTGTTCAGAAATGCATCAGAAGCTCAAAAATCGTCTGATTCTCACCACATCAGTCTCATTAGTCTTAGCCTAGTATTCTACGACTAAACCACACTATTTATTCCTGGCCTTACCCGATAAAATACCAACTCTACCGATTAAATCATTTCCGACCTAAACGGTAAACTACTCAGAACACCCAACAATTCTTACATAGTCACATGCAAGGCTGGAAATAACAGAATTTCACCAATTTCTATCAACACAAACACCATTCATCCATGGAAACAACAATCAGAACATTACAACATCTTAATCATGATCATCAAATTCCTATGGGGTTAAGGAATCCCCAACTACCCCATTCATGCAATTACCAATTTTAACCCGTTTCTCCCCCCTTACCTCGACTAGTTGCTTCGATCGATGAAAACTTCCAAGGATCTGATTGCTCTCCCTAGTTCTTCTTCCTCTTGTTCTTGTTCTTTTTCTCCTCACTCTTCTCCCAATAAACCGTGTTCCTCTTTTCCTTTCTTTTTTTCTTTCCCCCAACTCACTAATACCCCCTTAAAACACTTATTCCCCATTTCTTTTAATTCCAATATTAATTCCAATAATAATAATAATAATAATAATAATAATAATAATAATAATAATAATAATAATAATAATAATAATACCATTACTATTAATTATCAAAATATTATCATTATTAAGTTTATTATACTAATATTAAAGGCTATAGATTCTTAAATAATCCTCACAAAAGACATGCCGAAATAAAATAACACCGGAAATATTAAATAATTAAAATGGATGTTACACTTTTCACGTCGCAAATGAGATATATGAGTCATTTTTCCGACATGGTATTCACGTGAGTACTATCCCACGTGTTTACCACGTCACAAATTACACTATATAAATTCAAAACTAAGAACTCTTCACGCATTTCTTTCTTTTTCTTCCTTCTTCCTTGCTTGCTTTCTCTGCTTCCTCTCCTCCTTCACTGCATTTTACAGAATTTTATATTTTCATAGGTATGGTTAATGTTTTACATTCTTACTTTTTATTTTTGTTTTACATTTTATTTTAATATTTTTTCATTATTAATTATTAATTTTTTTTCCAGAAAATCAAGATTTGGAAGATTCAAGAGGAGCTCATCAAGCCTAAAGATTTAAGCTTTATTTTTGCTCCATTGAAGTATTTATGTAATTTAAATTATTTATTTTTTAAATTTATAAGAATAATATTGTATATGGAATGTTTGGTTGTTGTTGTTGTATAAAAACAGAATTTATTGATTATATATGAAAAACATAATATATATTATATTTTAAATGTGAATAATATTGATTATATATGAATAATATTGTATATGAAATGTTTGGTTGTTGTTGTTGTATTTAAATATGTTATTTTTATTAAAAACAGAATATATATTATATTTTTAGTATCCATAATTGTAAAAAATAATTTGTAGAAAAAAAGATTTTTAAAAATAATGAATATATATTATATTTTAAATGTGTTATTTTTAGTAAATAAATTA